ACTGGAAATTACAGTGCATTGAACCATAGAGCTAGAATTGATTGTGCACATAAAAAATCCTGAAACAACAGAAGAAAGAAAAGAACTTCCTAGAATTCTGTGGTAAAATCAGAACTCCAGTGGCAATAAAACTCTTACCCAATTTGAACTCACCTGCCCTTGATCATTAAGAAAATATTTGATGTTCCTCCACTTTCCTCTGATGAGAGAAGGAACTAGATTTTCCTTCATTTAGCCTACATCAAAGCATGGTTATAGATGTCAAAGAAGATTAATTTCAGTCACCAATATTTTTATAAGGCATTCTCTATTCCATCTTCTTTATATCAATTTCTTATGCTTTTTGTTGAATATTGGAAAGCTAAGACTAATGAACCCTGTCTAAATTGCTTTTATTTTTAATTAATTTTTAATTAAAGCTTTATGTATCACACATTACAATTCTAGCAATCCTAAACACATTTTTTTACTATATTCTAAAATATAGAAGGCGATTTTTGAGGTGTTATGAGAAACTGTAATCAGTTCTTTCTACTGGAGTTTATGGAAAGCATTTCTAAAAATGCAAATTCTATGTTTTGAGACTTGAAAGTTGCAAATAAATATTAATCTTGGAGCTTACTTTTACATTCTGAATTGAAATAATGACATTTTAAGCACTTAAACCTTTCCTAAGAGCAAGATAGGTAAGCATATACTTTGTTTCAAGTATCCTAATAATGTTGATTCCATTGGTCTTTTCATATGTTTAATGTTAAGCATATGGGTATGTACTTTCCTGAAATGCTGTATGGTATTTAGCAGAATGAATTACATCCCAACACTAACATTTCCTCAAGAATCTTAATAATGTAGGAAGTATCCAAAATAAGCTTTCATTCTCAAGATAAACAAAGTAATTTTTTGTGAGCATTGCCTTTTTATTGCTGCATCCAGCTGTAAATCATGTCATGAAAGAAGAAGACATCTTTAAAATGCATTTTTTGAAAAACGGTGCATTATTCTCTCCTGAGCTGTTGAGACAATTTCCTGCCTAGATCTGTTGCCCCATTAATTTTAGAGTATAAGAAAAAGTCACTGTGAGCTATAGGGAACAATTTTGGATTTGCTGTATGGACATATATCACAACAAATTTGCCTACAGTAGTTCTATAGATGCTGTTTAACAAACTCTTATTTCCCTTATTTTGGGATTAATGTCCTCTTTCCCTCAGATTTGCGCAGTGACATAGCCTTATGCTACACATAAGGAGGATTCTTTTCAGTGTGTAAAATTTGAAATCTGAATTCAATTACAGTAACAAGAGGAACTCTTTCTAATGAGTCTCAAAAAGTCCTGCCTAAACATGTAAAGCTCTCCTGTAGAGAAATAAATTGAGTGCACGGTGTTAGCATAATAGCAAGGGCCGAGACATAGCTTTGCCCTACAGTTTTATGGGATAATATTTTAAAAGGTATGCAGAGATGTATGACTTTTGGGGGACAGCTAAAATTGTTTTCATTTTTCTAATATTGTTTTCATTAGAATGTTGAAAGTATGTTTATGGTATCAGATTGAATTCTAAGGTGTTACCAAATCATCCAGGATCCCCACTGCTTAAGTATATTCCCTTGCCTCCCTACTTATCTTCAGAGCAAAAAAAATGGGAGGAATGTGCTTTGTTTTAAAGCATATAATCTGTATTCTGTCATGTACTTCATCTCCAAGGGAAGGTATCTGGGAACTCACTCTGCTGTTTTTATTTATCCTGCTAGTGTAGTATATAGATGAGAGGACTAAGGTCCAATGGTGTTAAAACAGGACATGAAATATTGATTAATTCTTGTTTTAAAATTCCTTTTTCCTCCTGAGTATAGCAAGTTTCAGACACTGCTGTCAATATAGTACTCTCCAATAAACCTCCATTATCTGGAGGTTCCTGATCTTCATAGTGTTCTTATAAATGATTATTATGATTCTAAATGGCTTTAAAAGCTCAAGGCTAGTGTTCTTCTGGTGTAAGAGCAGAAAGCAAGTTAGAAGCAATGCAGATTTTTATCATGGCAGAATGTTACTCAAAAATAACATGAATTGGATTGGGAATTCACTTTGCTAGACAGTAACAGAACATTCTGTTTGAAGAAATGAAGATCATAACAGGACAGATAAACCATTGTACAGTTTTGCGGATATAAAAGTGCCAAGAAGCACAATTATAGCTGGTGTCCACTTAATGAAACACAGGTATTTGAAACCCTACCTTTTGTTTTCACTTTTCATTCTTCAGTGCTAAGTTAACCCTTTATTTATTATTACCAGGATGGTCCTTTACAAAAGCAGTTAAACTTAGGAGTTTCCCAAAGGAAAAGGACATTTCAGGAAAGGTAGGGAAAAAAGTTTACACCAGCTAACCCATGAAAGATGATAGACATGGGCAAGAAAGAGAAGATGTAGCCTAAACTACTTTCAGTGTTCTTGAGTACAGTAAAACTCTCTGGGAGTTGAGGTAATTGTTTTTCAATTAAAAAAAATGTTGTGTACTGGAGTTTCCTTAGGAAAGTAAATCCATTGGAGCTTTTCTACTATCCGTAATAAAAGCTATCGATCAGAGAAGGAATATGAATCTTGGTCGTGTATGTGGCATGTAGTGTCATTATAAAGGTTGTACAACTACTTTTTCACCAGTCATACTAATTAGTACTTAGTCAAACCTCAACAAGATCAAGGAATTAACACAGAATCAGAGCCAAAAGCCAGTAACTGGGAGATTTACCTGGGAGGCAGGGTAATGTACTACATTCTTGCTCTGAACCAGCAAGAAACACTTGAGGTTGTTTCTTCTGTCTCACAGGACAGTTGGGTTTTATAGGCTGCATAAGTTGCTGTATGATGGTGTGTTTTCCACATGAAAGCTTTAGTCTTACCCAGCAATGAAAATGGTTTTGGAAGATTTTGTTGATGGGGATAACTGATTCATACATAGGTCTGCTTGTGAGTTCTTCTGCAACAAAACTTAACTGTGTGCAAACCTTACACTACTTTAGCTTATGATGGAGAACAGACTGCTCCCTGCTGTACCCAAAAAACAAGAGCTAAAAGGTGTGGCATAAAGCTAAATTATCCCTTCCTGTTACTCACTCAGCTCTCTCAAACTGAGCCAAAGTTGGGGCTCTATTAAGATGATTTTATGACTTCTGTGATATATTTATTTCTTTGGAAATTTGACAAGTTATTTATAATTTTAAGACAATTATTTTCATTTATTTCAATCAAACTGAAAGCAATATATGCACAAAGCTAGACTTCAATCAGTTCATAAGCAATGAGAGAAAAGTGTGTTCTTATTACTTACAAGATTTTAAGGCAGTAAGTCTCGCTTGCCCAGGTTACATGAGTAGCTTTGTTGTCTTCCAGTTCCCCACTGGGAACATTTGTGTCAGCAGACTGAATGGGATTTGGTCTGTAATTAACAGAGAATATATTTGCTCGCATAGCCATCATGAGAGCCAAATCCTTACTCATCACTTTTTGTCACTCATCCAGGTAATACTTTAGGACTGATTTAATGCACCTAGTTATTTGATCAAAGGCTATCAATCTGGGCACTGTCCTCTTGTGTTTTTCTCTCTGCTGTGCTATCTTTAAGAATGATAACACAAATTTATGTAAAGGGATATGCACAGAGTAATGTTTTTCAAAGTCTTGTATTTAATGTTTTTTTATCCAAATGTCCTTAAAAGTTTAATTGTTGCATGAATTTTCAGGCTGAGACTAGTCCACTGCAAATTAAGGTTTTGCTTGTGGAAGAGGATGGTGCATACTCACATGCACACAGCACAAACTCTGCCAGTAGTTTGCTTTTTGGTGAAATTTATCTCATTTTACACACTCTACTAATTGCTACCCTTCACATGTAAAACCAGATTATTTTCTGTCTTATGGGAGATGCTTTGTTTGGCTTCAGATATTTAACACGGTATCTCTTTTGTGGACAATTGCTTGAGGCCCCAAGCTGGGAAGAATGAGAGCATATCTATAAATAATTCAATGTAGTTGTATGGTTTTGACAGATTGTCAAGTTGGTTTATGCCTTTTGTCCCAAGCAATAGATTATACTTCTTTAATTGTTTTGTGTATTTTGTATTTTTACAGGGTCCAGTCAGGTTCATATCTCAGTACGGGTTGGTTTACCTTAATTTTGGCTATGGATGCCTGCTATGGAATTCACGTCTATGGGATGATAAATGACACCTACTGCAAGTAAGATCACAGGAAATTATTTTCATGCATCTACAATTCTGATGTCTTGTCAAAATTTCACAATTTATTTTAATATCATAAATCCCCAGAATGGATCAGGCAGTCATTTCCCACTGTTTGGCATTGATGTGACAGTATTGTCAACATATTTAGTCCTGATATGGCATTTACTGTTGATAAAAACATTTACAAAATCTAACATTGGTTGTCATAAGGAACTATTTTTAATCAAAGATTTTTTGCAGTTCCTGAATTACATGGAAGCAGAGTATGTTCATACTTTTCTGACTTATTTCTGCTTTTCTAGTACTTACTTCTACTGCTAAAACAAATCTATAGAGGAAATACTAATATGTTGATTCTCTGAATGCCAAATACACCTAGAAGTGAAAGAAACTTGTTAGCCCAGGATAGTTACCTGAAATTACATTTCACCACCATTGAGAAACCTACTTGAACTTTCTAGGTTATACATGACTTGTTTTGGGTAGTAGCATGTTTCTAATTAGATAAAACAAGTCCTGTAAGCTTTATCACAGTAAACTGACATAAATTCCAACCAACTACTGCTGGTGACCTTACAGTGACGATTAATCCTGTTGTCAGAAGTGTAACTAAATACAGTCTTTAGAAGTCCAAGTTAAATGTTTTAATCTACAGCATATGGTATAAAAATACAAAATGTAACTACTCCTCATTCAGAAAACCAGGGAATGTCATAAACAGTGTATGATATTAGTACAAATCTACTATTCTGTACCTAGACTGGTTCAAGTTTTGCATGTAATCAGTCTGGTGGGTCCTCAGCTCCTAAAGTCCTTGTGCAGACACTCACTCCTCATTCTCTGTTACTCCAGTGTGGGACTCATTCCTGGCAAACCCTAACAAAAAGATTTTGGGATTTGAGTCACAGCTATTTAATTAGGGTATCTTAACATTAGAGACTGACTTTTTAGAACTTGCAGATCTCACTGATTGAGTCATCCAGATGGAATGAACATATGTTGTTCTTTGTTTATGAAAACACATTAGTCTCCCTGAGATGAGGGGTGACAGGACTAAAGTTGTCCTCACAGAGTTCAGCCAGCTGACATTGCATAGCACTGATGCAAAACCAGTAAACAGCACGATAGCACTCCAGTTTGTTGGCAGCAGAGAATGATGGGTTCCCTTAAAGCTGCAATTCTATATATTGTTCTTATAACTGTCTTATTCAGCCAGTTCAAGAACCAGTTTCAACATTTGGGGCTATCCAATGAGAACAGACTGATTAGGGATGGAGCCCTATGGACTGAGTTCTCACTGGTTAAACAAAATGTGCAGTACCCATACAAGTCAGCCCATCAGCTTCTTACTGACTGATAAGACCAGTGTATGTTGAGAGATACAGTTAGCTTCATTTTCCATAGGAAAAAATAATTGAAATCATGCTCTAATGAAAGCCCTTATACAATTTTGTGAAGGAGCTCAGGTGCTGACACGTAGAAAGGATTTCAGATAATTCACAGAATCACTTAGGTTGAAAAAGACCTTTAAGATCACTGAGTCCAACTGTTAACCTGGCACTGCCAAGTCCACCATTAAACCATGTCCCTAAGTGCCACATCTACGCGTCTTTTAAATACCTCCAGGGATGGTGACTCCACCACTTCCCTGGGCAGCCTGTCCAGTGCTTAACAACTCTTTTGGTGAAGAAATTCTTCCTAATATACAGTCTAAACCTCCCCTGGCATAACTTGAGGCCATTTCCTCTCAACCTGTCACTCGTTACTTGGGAGGAGACATTGACACCCACCTTGCTATAACCTCCTTTCAGGTAATTGCAGAGCACGATCAGGTCTCCCCTGAGCTTCCTTTTCTCCAGGCTAAACAATCCCAGTTCCCTCAGCTGCTCCTTTATGAGGAAGAGACTGTGCTGGTCAAGACTTGTTTGCTAGACCTTTCACTACCTTTGCTGCCCATCTTTGGACACAGGCAAAGCACCTCAATGTCTTCCTTGTAGTGAGGGACCCAAAACTGAGCACGTTATTTAAGGTGTAGCCTCACCAGTGCAGAGTGAAGTGGGACGACCACTTCCCTAATCCTGCTAGACGCACTAATTCTGATACAAGCAAGGATGCTGATATCCTCTATCGAGAAGCAGTATATATTAATATATATACTTATTGGAAATATATATATTATTGCAAATAATTCTTGTTTGGTTTGTTTTTTTTCTCTAGGTCAGAAAGCTTTCGTAAAGTTCCCTATCACTATTACGAGCCAGGAAGAGATGAATGCGAGGAATACTTTCTGCATGAAAATGCTCCATATGGAGGCCATAGGTTTATCACGGAAAAGAAAGTATTTGCTAAATGGGCCAAGAAACACACAATAATATTTACACACCCCAACTGGACAGTGTCTTGATACTGGTTTTCTCAACACTCCCTTAACAGCATATTACAAAAATGCCTCAGTTTACAACAATTTTGCTTACATCTGGCTGGCCTTTCTCAGCCTAGGTAACACTAAACTAAAAGCCAGAAGACAAAGAGGGTGATGGTTCAGCTGTTAAGCAAATTAATCATCTCTGGGAGGCAGACACATTGTTTGTTATTTCTTAGGGTTGTACTCCACACAATGCACTTTATGCTTTAACTGGATTTCATTTCAAGGCAGTAGCAATTAAAGACAGATGAGATTTCCTGTATATACAGGTGCACACAGAGGACATGATGGTCCTTTAAAACTTGTTCATCACCTTACATAATTAAAATTCATATTTGCAGCTGGTATTGGAAGAAATTTTCCACAAAAGAAATAGGAGGTAAAATACAGACCTCCAAAGTCTATGAGTGAATTGATTTAAAAAAACGCCTGAACACATGCAAGCACCTGCATATATGGTAAAATTAGAGATGAGCTAAACAGGGTTCTTGAACTGTACACAACTCTTGCATGAGAAGATACTGTTTACTCTAAGGCTCACAATTAGTTCATAACTTCTGAAATGCAACTTCCTTCCACCCTGGTCAGGCTGCACCTGATTGGATTACGTGATTTCTACTTTTGGAGGCTGTTGTCCCACAGTTTAGCTCCAGCAGCATGGCACTTAGCAAAGATTGTGTTTTGCAGTCCATGCTGAACCTTTGGGTGTTTTACCAACCCTACTGTCACTACCCAAGCTGGCTAGTATTGTCTCACAAACATCTCCATTTACTCCAGTTGTGTCTTAGAGTTGCTCCAACATCCAAATACCTGCATTTTGACAGTATTTCCTAGGCAGTCATCATCATTTATTTAAAATCTCCAGTTTCTCCATCTTTAAAAGCAGGGATAGTATCTATCTACCTCACAAGGGAGTTGTGAGGATTAATTTAAATCCATAAAGCATTTTCCTGATGAAGAATGCTACAGAGCATTTATTCTTAACACAAAAACAATGGTACCTGTCATTTATTCTTGTCTGTTGGGTATTTGAAGAAAGTGACAGTGTGTCTGGATCTGATGATGAATTGTTCTGTGCATCTGCTTGCCTGCTGAGCCTAATTTCTAATACGGGGTTCTTTCAGCTTGGATTGCTTCAAATGGAGTTGAAAAAACTCACCCCCTTGCAGTATTATCTGCACATCAAGAGGTAGTTCAAGAATTTTAAAATATACTCATCTCTAGTTGAAATATGTATTTCCAAGCTTACTCTCATAGAATGTTTTCAACTGCAGCAGACTCATTTGTAATATGACCATAATTCAACTATACATGTAAGTTTTATTTAAACTGTATTTAAATTAATGCTTTAAGTTTAGAATGTGTCCTATGAATATTTTAATATCTGGAATGTCAGATTCAACACTGTAATAGCCAATACTGTGAACACTTGAAAGAATTATGTGTGAAACATGACACACAGGGTTTACTCACACTACTTAAACATTAACCAACAGGAAACTTTGTATGCTTTTGTAAATCATGAAAAGGGGAAAGTAAAAAGCTATTTTTACATGTAAGTATTTGTATACTGACTATTTCCTATTGTATATTTGTATATATAAATCTATATTTTATATGTTCATGGCATATATATTCTCTCGGCAGCAGCTGCAACTCTTGGGATGAGGAGGAGATCTCTTCACCAGTGTTCCTCCTCCTGATCACTGGTTTCTTCCTGCTGTTGGTAGGTGATGCCAGGGTATCATCTCTCTCTCCCCTTCTATTTGCTACTGTAAATGCAGATTTCTGATCTTATTTTCAATATAGCTCAGCTTTCACTGCTTACTTTAGTGCTGTAAGTATTCATGCTGGCTGTCAGACAGACTGGGACCATGCTTGTGATCCTGTATAAACATCTCTATTTAAATGCAGGCTCCGTCCCATACTTCTTGAGTGACTTGGATGTCTTACCTTTCTGTTTGGAAAAGGAAAACAATAATATTTTCTACTCCCTGTCTTGACTGACTTTCCTGTAAGCTCTTGAGACGGATATTCTCATTTGCAATGTATTTGTATAATGCCTCACAGGAGAGGTGCCCAAAGTGTCTGAAGGCTACAGGCACTGCTATATTATACAAATAATTTGAACTGGCTGCTTCTTGTCCCTGGAGTTTAAAATCAATTGTAGGCTAATATAGCATGGGATAAAATCAAGAGGGGGAAGGCTCATGGATGGATGAGGAGCTGCAGCAGGAAAAGACAGTGAGCTAGATTTAGCACCATATGCATATGCAACTTTTCAGTCCAGATGGATGGCTGGACAGACGAAAAGCTAATAAAAAAAATTGTAATGCAGGATTTGAAGAATGCAGGATATGCAGAACCAGGGACAATGTTCCACACATATTGCTCAGAGCAGCCTGGGAAAACCTGTAATTCCCTTGTGGGAAGAGGAGCTGAGAAGGAGAGTATCCGTCAAAATCAACTTGCATTTAGAAGGTCTTTGGGTTAACAGAAAACTACTATGAAAGTGTTGCACATGGAAGAGCAGTTGGGCTGGGCACATTTACATGAGAAGCATCCTCATGAGGCACAGTCTTTCTTCCCAGCAAGTTGTTTTCATATGAAAGGCAGTTTTTAATCCTGCAAAAGTTTTTAAGATAATTAAGACTTGCCAGATCGCCATAAAACTCTTGTAAAATATGTGCTTCATGCTGAAGTTCCTTGTAGAGTGCTTGCACGCTGTATGAAACAATATCTCACGCAGAGGCTGGCTAAGAAAAATACAGCTCTAAGAACAGCTAAGTGTACAGCAAAATTGAGAACATCATTAGAGTGCAGTTGCCACAGAGCATAGTAAAAGTGTTGCTCTTTGCTTGGATTTGCAGTTAGAGCAGATCCACTTTTAGAAACATTGCAGCAGGCTTCATTCACACTAGAGTAAATGAACATCAGTTCCCTTATTTAAATGAGCCTGTCTTTAGCATAAACTAAACACATATTTGCAAGATTTTATTCTATGGGTAAGGAACTGTGACCACAGTGTTAAAGACGATTCTACAAAGAAATTACTTAGCTGAAATCTGTTAAAAATCAGCACTGTGGCAATGAAGAAGGAATCTCAGTACTTGGCTGGGCAGTAAGAGATCTTGATGACCTTCTGAGAGCAGTTTAGACATCAGCTGAGAGTCATTTATTAATTCTTTAAAATAAAGCCTACTACAATTTACCTGAATGTAATCAGATCCTAATTGCTTATTCATTCAAGCAGTCCTCTTTTAATCAACTACTCCTGTGTATAAAACAAGCAAGGAGTTTACCTGAGGTTTTCAAATAGATCTTCACATTCCTGCTAATAGCGGAATACTCTCAAATAATTTGTGCACTTTTTTTGCCATCAGTCAGCTAAGTAGTCACCAAATGTTTTCTTAAATAGTTAGTTAGTTATTTAAAATACATTTCTTGAAGAGAAAAAAAAAGAAAAGCATTTATTGTTTGGTTTGCTGTAGGCTTGGTTTTAATAAATGTTCAGATTTTAATACACTTTATATTTTATGTGCATTACATTCTGGGTTTTGGGTTTTTTTTTTCAAGGAAAAGGTTTTAAATAGGAGCAGAATTTTTCCCAAGGGGAAAAGAAAAAAAACATCTTATTGACTGGTAATTACTAATTCACAGGTAATTAACTGAGTAACATAAAAACCTGTTCTTTGTTTTTCCAAACATATATAGCACACATGATCCCAACCTTTTCAACCCCACTAGATATCTGGATTGCATCCCTCAGCTTATATCAAGGCACGTTCACAGAAAGAAAACGTAGTCTCTGTATCCAGCCAAACTCCCTTTCCATCTGTGTTGGGAGGCTCCATCTGCAGACTGCTTGTATCAGTTACATCAGTAAGAAGGAAGGACTGAGTAAGAGTTCTACTTAGGAGCAGATGGTGTTCCAACTTCTAAAAAATGCCCCTAAAGTGCTTTAGGAGAGGAGTACCCATTGATCTCTCCTAAAAATACTTTACCAAAGTATTCTGATTCTTTGACTACCTTTAGCTCCTTTGTAGAATTATTGTCTTACTCTCTCTAGTAGGAATTACGTGGGAAAAAATCCCCTCTACAGGCCAAAGTAGAGGTAAATTCTGTGTTAAGGATTTCTATATAGACAACACCAGGGATGAAGAAGTCAGCCTGACACAAGTTAACTGAAGGCTCACTGATGTAGGTATCTCTGAGAACTCAATTCAAAACTAACGGAAATTATTTTAACAGGTTTATGAATACAGCACCCATTTAAGTAAAACCTTTGCAATCCTGGATACTAAGGTAAGCAGTGTTTTGTCTGAGAAGTACAATCTGCACATAATGCATTGCATAGTTAATAAAGAGAAGCCCATCCCACACTTGGAGTGCTGATGCAGGGAGTCTTTACCTGCTCGTGGGCTGGACAAAAGTAGGAGCCCACATAAAGATAACTGGCAGGAGAACCCAGATGCTCAACCAGAGAACACTTCCAAGTATGTAAGAATTAAAGAAGTTTCACTCATGAATTATAACTGGATGTCACCCTCAGTAAGCAGAAAATCAGAAGCACTTTACATATTGATGTTTATATTTTGATGACATTTTCATGGGGGTTTGTTTGTGATGAACCTTAGGGTGCCCAGAGCAGTGAAACTCTGAGTGCCAAAGGATTACATAGGAGCTGTCTCTGGGTGTTGGGGTGTACTACATACAACAGAGTCATGTATTTACTAAAATAGGTCTGTTTTTCTTGACTAGGCATAGCTCTTTTGAGGAGAAAGTGTTTCATTTTCAGCAGATGTGTTTCATTCTGTTCGGTCTTTCCTGAGAAGATGCACAGCAATGTGACTTAACCATGGGGGATTGAAGAATGATAAATAGCCAAACACTAGATTCACGTGTATTTTTCCAGCCCTTGCTGTGACGTACAGCCAATAACACAGAGAAAAGTAAGGTCTTTGAAAACCTTTTATTGTATAATCTACAGAAGTCTCATGTGTCCATTCTGGATTAGAGTCTCCTAGGCAAACCCTCCAGAAAGGGGCAGGAGAAAGAGAGGGTCTCTCCTAACTGAAAGACAGGGCTTCTGCAGAAGCTGGAACAATCTGTGTGGTATATCCAGACCTGCTCCCCATCTTTTGTAGTTTCCTCGCCCAGCCACAGATTTGGGCCCTTTCCAGCCCCATGGGGTGAGTGCATTCTCCAACTGACTTATGTAGCCTGTTTTCTGCATAAAGTCTGCTCATCCTCCCCTTCGGTGAGGCCAGGGGATTGGTGATGCTAACCTGGGGGCAAAGAGTGATGTGTGTCAGAGCAGGGATGCTCCCTCAAGTCAGCAGCATAACCTTGCTTGGGGCACACTCTCACCCCAAGTGCTGAACTCAGTTTCTTTGAATGTGGTGGGAAAGATATCTGTGGGTTTTGTTATTGTCTGTATGATTAACTCACCAAGAGTGACTGTTCTATGGGTGTCTTAAATAGCTGATTTTGCGCCTTTTTTTGCATCACTTGCTGCTATTTCTGGGAATTCCTCAAGATAAGCAGCTGTCAGCATCTGCCACTGTTGTTCTGATTTACTGTAAACTTGAACTAATGCATGTTCTTACCATGTACTATGCATGATAGCATGTTACACATTTTATTCTCACACTATAATAAATAACGCAAGTTGTGTGCAAACCTAGTTTAAGCAGCTTAAGTAATGCTTTTTCTTTATCTCATATCACGTATTGCATAAAGCACTTTGCTGGAGCTCTGTAAGTGCCATTAGCAGCTGACAGGAAATAAATTGTTGAAACCAGTCAGGAAATATTTATTAAAATTGGCATTTTTCACTGGAATAGTAGAAATAGTTAAGCTTGCTTTTGTGAACCTGCTTTAGTGCTAACAGTCACAAATCCTATGTTCTAAGTAGATCTCATGTCTGAGTGAAACATTGGGAATTATTTTATTGATACAGATAGTGTCAGGATGTTGGTAGGTGGAGATCACAAATTTTTGACATTTATAGGAGTATCTTCTTAACAGGAATGGCAGAAGATTGACAAAGATGCCTGTAGTTTTTTTTCATATTGTTGCTGCTGAAAATAGTATTTCTGAGGATGGCCAGAGGAAAAAAGAAAAGTGAGTTCTCACTACTCTTTTGGCTGTTCATCTATCCCTTCCTCATACA